TTTGTGACTCATAGCGACCCTATGTACAACAGCCCTAAACCCTGCTCTATCCTGTGCCAATTGTATTGCCTCTGACACACCCATCCCGATTACCCCAGTCACTGAATCAATCCACCTCATAGAGGGTCTTCCCCTCCTGCGCTGTCCCTCCACCCTACCAAGCATGATATCCCTCTCCAAGGACCTGTCTCTCCTTACAACATGTCCAAAGTATGAACAAGGTAGCAAGTAATAAATGTTAGAAAAGATGTGGTGAGAAAGGAACTCTTATACATTGTTAGTGGGATTATAAAATGGTACAATCATTCTGGAAGGTAGTTTGGTTCCATATGACCCAGCTATTCCACTACTTGGAATATACCCTGAGAATAGGAGAACTGAAATTTGTATACAGCATTGTTCATAGCAGCATTATTCACCATCACAAAAACATGGAAACAGCCCAAATGTCCAACCACAAATGAATGGATTGAGAAATTTTGGTATTTTCACACAATAGAATACTATGTAGCACACAGGAGCAATGATTTTATAAATTATTACCTAACTTGGGAGGGACTGGAGAGCATTATGCTGAGTTAACTAACTCAGTCCCACAAGGACAAATATTGTATAAAACCATTACTGTAGAATGAGTATAGAATCCAAGAGGGGTGAGGATGTGCAGGTGGGGGAGGGGGATTAATCATGGGGTTGTACAATTTGATGGGTGGGAGTGAGGGAAACTGAAAGAATTTGTTCAAATTTATATTCTAATTTTGTAAATAAACTAGTAGAAAATTAAAAGAAGAAAGAAAGAAAAGACTAGAATAGATGAGAAAAAAGACTGACATTTACTCTTAAACTAGAGCAACTAAATGATTTGAAGGCACAATGATGTAAAAGCTAGGAAAAAGTGGGGTGAGAGGTGATTTGAGATGAACTGCGGATTTCAAAGGGTGATGTGAGAAGACAAAGTAAAGTGTAATAAATGTGCAAAGACCTGTAGTTAGAAAAACAAAAGGGAAGAACATGGTTAACATTTCTCAAGTTGAAAGAACTGAAGAACAAATGTAAACCTCACGTTGCAATATTGGAAGAGTCTAAGGAGCTCTGGTGGCTTAGTGGTAAGGAGTTGTGCAGCTGTCACAAAGGCATGCAGTTCAAATCCATCAGCTGCTCCATGGGTGAAAGACGGGCAATTAACTTGTTAATTCTGTTAATTGAATGCCTCTGAAAGTTCATTGGAAGGTCAGCTATGGGGCAGATCTGACTCAATGGCACATAACAACAAAAATATTAGGCAAAATAGCAATGAACATGGGAAGCACCAAAAGAATACGAAGGAACACATGGAGACAAAAAGAAAATACTCAACAAACTCAGGAGGAAGCATATGACCCACAGAGACCGAAGGAAAACGCTCCAGCTGTACTGAAAGCATTGATAGAAAAGAAAGCTCCAGGAATTGACAGAATACCAGTTGAAATGTTTCAGCAAATGGATACAGCACTAGAGGTGTTCACCAGCCAAGAAATTTGGAGGACTGCTACCTCACCAACCACCTGAAAGAAATCCATATTTGTGCCCATTCCAAAAACGAAGGTGATCTAATGGAGTGCTGAAATCACCAAAGAATATCATTAATATCAAGCACAAGTAAAGTTTTGCTGAAAATAATTTTAAAATAGTTGCAGCAGTTTGTGGACAGGGAACTAACAGATCCTTGGATTCAGAAAAGATCGTGGAATGAGAGATATCAGATAGATCTTGACCAAAAGCATAAAATATCAGAAAGTTGTTTCTTATGGTTTATTGACTATGCAAAGGTATCCAATTGTGTAGCTCATAACAAATTATGGGTAAATTGAGAAGAATGGAAATTCTAGAACACTCAACTATGCTCAGGCAAAACCTGTACATAGACCAAGAAGTAGTCATTCACACAAAATAAGAGGATATTGCATGGATTAAAATTAGGAAAGGTGTGTCCAGGTTGTAACTCTTCACCATACTTATTTCATCTGTATGCTGAGTAATTAATCTGAGAAAATGAACTATATGCAGAACACAACATCAGGATTGGAGGATGGCTCATTAACATTATGCCATTTACAGATGATACAACTTTGGTGAAAGTTTGAAGTACTTACTGATAATGGTCAAAGACTACAGTCATCAATATAGAATAAGCCTCAACATGTTGTTGTTGTTATGTGCCGTCGAGTCGAGAGCCCTAAACTCCGCTCTGTCCTGTGCCAATCGCACTGTCTCTGACACTCCCATCCCAATTATCCCAGTCACTGAATCAATCCACCTCATAGAGGGCCTTCCTCTCCTGCGCTGTCCCTCCACCCTCCCAAGCATGATGTTCCTCTCTTGGCACCAGCAGCCAGGAAATTAAAAGGCGCATTGCCATGGGAAAGTCTGCTGTTAGGGACCTCTCCAAAGTGCTGAAGAGCAATGGTATCTCTTTGGAGACTAAGGTGCGTCTGATACAGGCCATGGTCTTCGCAATCACCTGTTATGCATCAGAGAGTTGGACAATGACCAAGGAGGATGGAAGGAGAATTGATGCCTTTGAGCTGTGGTGCTGGAGAAGAGTACTGAGAATACCATGGACTGCTAGGAAAACAAACAGATTTGTCCTGGAAAGAGTTAAACCGGGTGGCTCCTTGGAGGCAAGGATTCTGAGGCTCCGTCTAACATACTTTGGACATGTTGTGAGGAGAGACCGGTCCTTAGAGAAGGACATCATGCTTGGAACCTCAACATAGAGTAAACAAAAATTCTTACAGCTAGACCAATAAAGAACACCTTGATAAATGGAGGAAAACATTGAAGTTGTCAAAGATTTAATTTTACATGGAACCACAGCCAATATGCATGGGAGCAGCTTTCAAGAAAGCAAAGGACATATTACACTGGGCAAACCTGTGATAAAGACGTCTTTTAAATGTTTAAAAAGCAATGATATCACTTTGAAGGCTCAGATGTATCTATTTCAAGCTATAGTACTTCCAAACACTTCATATGAAAGTAATAGTTGGACAAGGAATAAGGAAGAGCAAAGAAAAAGTGATGCTTTTGAAGGATGGTGTTGACAAAGCATACGGAATAGACCAGGGACTGCAGAACAAACACATCTGTCTTGGAGAAATACTGCCCAAAGCAAAGATGATGGGACTCCTTATCAGGAAGGACTAATCTTTGAGGGACATTGTCTTGGTTACCTTGTTGTTGTTGTTGACAAGGACTCACAGTGACCTCACAGATCCGAATCTTGTCCTATCCTTCACTCATCTCATGGCCTCCAATATACTCAAGCCTGTTGTTACAGTCACTGTACCAGTTCATCTTATTGAGGACCTTCTTCTCTTTCTCTGACCCTCCACCTTCCCAGCATGAGGTCTTTTTCCAAGAACTGGACCTTCCTGGCAACATGCCCAAAGTAAACAAGACAAAATTTCACCATCTTTGCCTCTAAGAGGCACCCTGCTTACACATCCTTCAAGATAGACTTGTTTGTTCTTTTTGCAATATACTTTGCCAACACCACAATTTAAGGACATCAACCCTCGTCATCTTTATTCATGGCCAACTTTCAGATATATAGGAAGCAATTGAAAATACCACGGTTTAGGTCAAGTGTACCTTATTAGCCTTTAAACTGACATCTTTGCTTTTCAGGACTTTGGAGAGATCCTTGACAGCAGATTTTCCTTGTGCAATATGTCTTCATTTCTTGACTGTTGTTACCAGGCATGTTGATTGTGAATCCAACACCTTCACTCTTTCCTCCATCTGTAATAATGAGGGTAGTCATCCTAACTAGTGGTGAAGATCTTTGTTTTCTTGCTATTGTAATACAATCCATCTGGAAGACTGTGGTCTTTGATCTTCTTCAGTCCTTCTTCACTTTCTGCCAGCAAGTTTGTGTCATCTGCATAACAAAGGTTGTTAATGAATCTTCCTCCAACACTAGATTATTCCTCACAGAGTCCAGCTTCTTGAATCATTTGTTCAGCACACAGATGACTAGGTATGGAGAAAGGATACAATCCTGACACACACCAGTCCTCATTTTAAACCAAGCAATGAATGCTCCCTTGCTTTGTCTGGACAACTGCTTCTTGGTCTATGTATAGGTTTCATATGAGCACAGTTAGTATTCCTGGATTCCCATTCTTCTCAGTGTTAACCATAATTTTTTTTATGATCCACACATAATTGTGCTTAGTTACCTAATTCTAGCTATGCTATAACAGAAATACACAAGTAGATTTACTTTCTCAGTTTAGGAGGCCAGAATTCTGAAATTAGGGTATCAGCTCTAGTGAAAAATTCTGTGTTTCTGTTGGTCCTTGTTTATGTTCAAGCATCTATAAGCTTGCATTCTTTAGAGGTCTCCATGTGTCTTGACAGAAACCCTTTCCAATTCTAGGAAGCCCATCATGCAGGGATCCTGGGTCAAAAGGGCCTGCCCTGACTTTTCTTTCTGGGTGACACTGAAGTCTCTCCCTCCCCTGTCATCTGTCCTGACTTTTAGCACTAAAAGGTGTTGTCACACAATCCCAGCAAAAGGCTTCTTCCATTGTATCAGGACTGTGAGTGGATTAGAGGTCTCACATCCCACCCTAATCCCTTAGTTCTTATCAGGACTGACCAGTCAGGGCACAACCTTGCATTATTGTGTACCTGCCATCCCTAACTTTGAGGACCACAGCCCACGCAAGTTATGTATTCTGTGGGGGACACAACTCAATCCACGACAGACATGATGCTTAATAATAAAGTAGAGGGTCCATGAAAAAGTGGAAGACCTTCAATACAGTGGCCGTAACCAGGGGTTCAAACAGAAAGAGTTGTGAGGGCGAGGCAGGGTCATGCCCATCCAACTGTATCTCAAAAGAACTCTAGGATCGTGCATTTCCACCTTAAGGCGTTTCTGCCCTGGAACCAGCCACAGACAGGGGTTCAATGGCTGGGTGCGCCCCCTCCTCCCTCAGGCTTTAGACCGATCAGCCGATCAGCCGAGCTGAGCTGCTTGTATAGCGCCCCAGCTCCCAACTCTGGCCCGCAGGTCGCATGTACGAGAAGTCCCCAACCCTCCCACCCAGCACCCTCTCCGCCCCCGCAACCCACAAAGCCTCTTCTTCCTTCCTTGCAGGCACTGCCAGAGTGTCTCCTACACAGGCCCAGAGTTGGGGCCCCTCGGGGGTGCCCCGGGACTGAAGCTCCGCTGACTTTCCGGGAAAGAGGAGGCGGGCGGAGGGAAGAGCAGGCTGGGGCCGCGGAGGGAGCTGGCGGCCGCCTGGCACGGGGACAGAGTGCGTTTGCACCTCTTTGAAGCCTGGAGATGAAAGCGGGGCCACATGGGCTGCCTTTGATTCCGCTCCTCCCCAGCCCGGAGCAGCTGCAGCGGCCAGGGCCCAGCCCTGCTCCCCGCGCCGCCCCTGGGGAAGCCAGGGGGGCCCCAGGCCAAGGGTGTTTCTCTCCTGGTGGAGAGGAGATGGAGGAGGGGTAAGCAGAGGAGGCCCTTCAATGGGGGGGAGGGGATCTGGCCGCAACAGGCCCACCCAAAGGGCACAGGCAGCCCCCCTCATCATAGGACTGAAAGAACCTTCTTCCAGAACCTGTGTCCAGGTAAGAACTTTCGCTGTTAAGGAGTCACCCAAAAGCGCGTGGTGCTGAGAGCTGCTGGATTTTCTCAGCCTCTCTGAACCCAGTTGCTGTTTCATGCATTTTGACTCATGGCGACCCTATGTATGAAGGAAGAATAAGGCAGTTGCCCACCACCTCCAAGCTTGATCTCTTCCTGAGAAACTTGATAACATCTAAGCTGGTCATATCAAAGAGCAGGCCAGACAATGAATCCTGATAAGAGTCTGAGCTTGGAAAAAAAGGTGCTAAAACCTAACTTAATTAACAAATCAAATTCCGAGAAATACCATCTTAGTCCTCCCCAGGACCGTTGTAGAAAGGAAACCCCCCAAACTGCCTACAGGCCAGTTGGATCCTGTCTGCATGCCATGTGGCTGGGTCACTTGGCGTCCCTCACAGATCACACAACAAAGGCCTGTTCGTTTCTTGGGACCAATTCCTTTCTTTCTCTGTCTTGTGCCCTCCTGCTCTTTTTTATGTGTAACAATGTATGCAACAGTAGAGAGATGTGCTCCACAGGGTTCTCAGTGGCTAAGTATTCAGGAGAATGGCAGGTCTTTCTTCTGAGTTACCTCTATCTGGAGGTGAACTTCCTGTCCTTTGATTTGTAGCCAAGCACGTTGACCATTTGTCCCATCTGGAGATTCCAATTTGAATTCAACAAATATTTGTAGAGAACCTCCGGTCTATTAGGAACTGTTCTTAGAACCCTTTATGCACATATTTGGGTGAGACCAAATGACGTAATGCATATAAAGGGCTTAACACTGAGTCTGGCACATGGAAACGCTTGGTACCTGTCAACCATCATTATCGTCATCATTAACACCACCTCCACCACCTTCAGCTCCTTTTAACCACTCCTGGGTTTGAAGGCAGAGAACCAACTGCCGTTCTAGTGCCCAGTACCTCTCTGCTCTGGCCTGAGGTGGGCTTCCTCCTCTCTCCTAGGTCAGCCCCTAGCCTAGAGGAGGCAGGACCACTGACCCAGACCACTGAACCCTCCAGCCTGAGAAAGGCAGCCCAGTGACAGGCCCAGACACACAAACATCTTGTGTTCTGAGGCCACTGAGGGTAAAGGAGGTGAAGCTCTGTCTGGGAGTCCGAGCAGGCCCTGCCTCTTCATGGCCTGAGTCTGCAGAGGCTGCAAAGCAAAACTCCTCCTCGAACAGCTGGAGAGAAGCAGGAGCCAAGCCAGGCTTAAGGAGCCAGCAGGGGTGAGGGAACCAAGCTCACTGTGGGCATGGTCTCTGCAATCCCTGCCGCCCTAGCACCCAGGCAACATGGACCATGTGTCCTCTGTCTCAACCCCGTCCACAGCCTCCAGAGACATTCCCTCCACAGAGGTCCTCCTCCTCCTCCTGGCACAGCCACTGCGTGCTCAGTGACACAAGGAGCGTGTCTGTGAACCCCTCCAGGGCATACTCCTTGGCCCTCATCCCATCCATGGTGACATCATGCTGCCTCCCAGGGGTAGAAAGGAGATGACAAAGCCAGGTCTGGGGATGGGTCTCGAGTATTGTGAGCAACTTGTAGGTTTGCAGGACCCTGTGCTGCAACCCTTTTAAGACTCTGTCTAATCCTTGAGTCACTTGGAGGCATCCCATTTCACAGGTAGGAAAACAGAGGCTCGAGGGTCTGGAGGTGAGGCTGGAATGTGTATCTAGGTCTGATTCCAGAGTTTGTGTTCTTTCCATTCAAATGTGCTGCTGAGAAACTTAGCACTTCTGGGTGAGCTCAGAGTGGCCATGGTTAGTCCCATTATCTGAGAGTCCAAGCCCAAGAAGCCAAGTTGAAAGACCATGATGCAGCAGGAAGAGTGATGGCCTTGGTGGCAGATTGATGAGGTGGCCTTTCACTAGCACTGTGAGGTCCCCTCCCCTTGACATCTTACATCTCTATGCTGGGAAGTGACCATGAAATGTAGGATTCCCTGAAGATTACTGTAGGTGGTCTGTAGCCTTAAAATTCTTGTAGCAGTTATCACTCACTCATCCATGCCATCAAGTCAGAAATGACTCATAGCCGACCCTCCAGTGGGTTTTCTTAGGCTATAAATTGCACAAGAGGAAATTGCCCATCTTTCTCCCATAGAGAAACTGGTAAATTGGAACCTCCCACCTTTGGGTTGGCAGTGCAAGCCCTTATCCACTAATCCACCAGAGCTCCCTGTGGTAAGTACACAGTTCTAACTCGAAGGCATACACCAAACAGCACACCAAACTCTCCATCTCATGCATAGTTTTGTTTCAGTTGTGTCTATGTTGAGGAGGGTGTCCCTGGGCAGTAGCAATTAAGTGAGGCTACTAACAGAAAGGTTAATGGTTCAAATCCAATCAGGGGTGCCATGGAAGAAATGCTTGGTGTCTGCTTTTGAAAAGTCATGGCCATGAAACCCTATTCAGAGCACAGTTCTATCCTGATATACACAGGATCACCGTGGATGGGAACTGGCTGATCCCAGAGTGACTCGAAAGAAAAGAAAGAATTTGTTGACTTAAAGGGAAATAGTAAATAAATTTACATTGTGGCGCACAGGATATTGACTGTACTGTGGACTGCCAGAAGAACAAACACATCCGTTTTGGGAAAAGTACAGGCAGAATGTTCCTCAGAGGCGAGGGTGGCCAGACGTGGCCCGGCTTCCTTTGTGTACGTACCACGCACTGACCGATTGCACCACTGCACCTCTACAGCCTGCTTACTTGGGATGTGTCCTTAGAAAAGGACAATCACTAGGAAAGGGCATCACGTGTGACAAAGCAGAGGGCTGGTGAACACAAGGGAGAGCCTCTGTGAGTCAGACGGACACGGGGATCGCGACAATGGGCTCAAACACATGAATGGTTGTCAGGATGGTGCAGGACTGAGTAACATTTGCTGCTGTCATACGTGGGTCCCTAAGAGTCAGTGCCAAATGACAGCAACCAGACAGTGAATAAAGCCCCAGGTGGCTGCAAGAAGAGGCCCAAGGCATGATGGGAATATCAGCATGCCAGTGGCCTGGGAAGCATAAAATGATGTGATGACCACACCCCCTGGAGGGCATGACTGGTGGGCAGGGGGCTGCAACTGAGGGCCTCAGTCCCACTGGAGCCAGGCCAGGAGAGACGGAAGTGGGAAAGGGAGGTAAGAGTGAGTTGGGAGAGGAGAAGGAGCAGGCGCTTGGGCTCGGGGGCCCACCAGCCCTCTCGTCCAGCCAGGGGCCCCACTGAGCCTGGAGGCCACATTGCTGCTCCCCTCCCCAGCACCGGCCGCAGCTGGCTGGTGTAAAACACACATGTTTTGACTGAAGCCTCTCTCCCCCACCTCCTGAAAAACGCCAACATTAAAGGGAGCATAGCTTTGTAAAACTGAAACTGTAAAACGCTTCTGAAACCCAGCCCGGGGGATTAAAGAAACCACATGAAAAGGGATTGGGGACGACCTGGACGCTGACTTCCTGTTCAGAAGTTCCCTCAACATGTGCCTCCCACTCGGGCGGGTGGCGTGTAGAGAGGAGGAGGAAGACGACGAGGGCCGGTGCAGGCCTCAGGGGATCTTGGAAAGTCCAGGGGACTGGAAGGTCCAGGATCTGACACACTAAGGTCATGGCCCTTTGGGTCTTTGACCTCTGGGGGTTCAAATGAGAAGCCTTGGGACACACCCTGTGGTAATGGAGGAGTTGGATATAAGAGTGACCACAACCACAAGTGTCTGCTTCGCAGCACTGTGCCAGCCTCCCCGGTGGCTCCTCAAAGTCCTCACGGTCCTCAGTCACCAGAAGATGCCAAAAGTATCCTGGTCTCAGCTCAGCCTCCTACCCAGTTGCAATTCAGCGTCCAGGCACAGAACTCCACCTCTTGGGTTTGGATCCCAGCTCTACCACTCATAGCTGTGGACCATCTGATGACCCTAATTCACTATCCCCTTAGAGACTATTTAGGGGAAAGTGTTCAACAAACTGTCTGGCATGGAGGACCAGTGCCAACTGTTAGTCAACTCTTGGCAGCCCCATGTGCGTCAGGGAAGGAGTGAGCTCTGGGAGGGTGTTCATGGCTGTGACCTCTCAGAAGGAGATCAGCAAGCCTGTCTCCTGAAGCGCCCCGGGGTGGATTCCAGTCTTTTCGTTAGCAGTGTTAAGCATTTGGACTACTCAGATTCTCGGGCACAATGGTCAATAAATGGCAACGCACAGATACACACTCCGCACCATGTCACTGATGGGCATGAGTTTAAAACATGCAAGAGGTGTGCCAGGACCACACAGCCTCCTGGGCTAGGAGAAAGATGGTAGTTATTCCCCTACCCCCGGGGACCTCCTGCTGCTCCATGGCCTTGAACAAATCCTAACAAATGTCTAAGGTAAGAACTTCATCTTAGAACAGATGCTAGGACGAGCTGGGTAACAGTCCCTTCAAGCTAAGATGTTCTAGTTTGGGGCCGGGGAATCAAAGGCAAAGAAGCAGCCTGTCTCTCTCCCACGACTGGAGAGTTTGCTGGACTTGGGGACAGCAGGGGAGCTCTGTGATTTTTAATCCTTTGGCCATGAGCTTCTCTACCTTGAGACTGGCCATCCAGGGCTATGAATGGAGAAAACCAGGTGTGTGGACACACATATCATGCATGCCCACATGCACGCCTTCCCTGTCACACACATGTTATACAGACACAGACTAACGTCCACACGCCGCATAGGTGGCCACCACCACCCCCAATAAAGCAGCATTACAGCCCTTCCTCCGTTATATAAACTCTCCATGCCCTCCAGTGTCCCCCGCAATCACTTACCTAATATTAGGATATTAAAAAATATGGCAAGATTTTAAGAGACTTATTAAAATGCAATTAGCAGCGTGTACGACTTAAGCAGGGAGATTATTTTTAAAAATGACTTGATTGTGCAGAATACCACGCACCTTCCCGAGGCCGTAAACCTGCCAATCACACACGTTCTCAAATGAAGAGGTTTCTGCACTTTCTCTTTGTCCTTCAGGGGTTTCTCCTACTCCTGTGACCACCAAAGCTGTGGTTTCGCGACCCCACAAAAACCATCCACCCCCATTACATACCCCCACAGACCCCTCAAGTGGCCCCTCAGAAGGAAGCCAAGGATGTAATCAGTCAAAAGCAAAGGCTAAAGAAACTTCGAGAAACTGACCAGAGGGTGGACTAAAGGATGAAGAAGGCCCATTCTGCTGCCGCCTCCATTCCCACCCAACCCCCGCCCCTGTGATTTTAATCTGGTGCATGGGCTGCAGACAAGGCCAGGGTGGTAAACTGCCTTGCTCTGAAGCGGCTGGAGTGCAATGGCTGGAAGGGAGAAAGGAGGCCTGCAGGAAGATGGGGTGTCACTGCTGACCTCTGAGAGCTGAGCCTTAGAGACCCCCTCCCGCAGCCCCCTGGCAGCGCCCACTGGGCAGGACTGGAACAGTGTGTTGTGCTGCCCCCTGCTGCCCGCTCTCTGCACTGCAGTCCTGCTCCCGGGGCCGGCGACCCTGTGAGGCTCGCGTGGGTCCCCGGTCCGGGCATCGTCAGCAGCGTGGTTCCCACCGAAGACGCCCGGGCTTCGTCCGCCACGACTGTAACCTGTGGAGAAAAGAGCCTCTGCAAGCGCGGGGCAGCGCTGTGGGCGCCCCCCAGACAGCCCCATCCTGACCGGAGGAGTTTATCAAATGTGCTCTACTTCCTGGCATTAGACTCCCCTGGCACTTTTATTCCAACCATAAAAAGCCCATTTCATTGAGAAATAAAGTCCCATCTCCCTGACGTGGAACTCCTTTCAGAGCTTTTAGCCGCCAAGCAAAATTTATGTTTCCTGGATGCTTTCTCCTGGGGTTGCAACTGGAAATCCGGGGAGAGGGCTGGGGAGGGGGGTGGGTGTCCTGTATCCTTAGTGGACATGCGTTTAGTTTCCTGCTTGAAAGGATCCTAGAAGCTCAAAGTGCCAGGCTCGGAACCTGTGATGTGGAATGAAAAGGCCAGGGTTCTGGGTGCTGCCATCTAGTAACTAGAAGACCTTGAGTAAGGCACCAAGCCTCAGTTTCTGCATCTGTAAAATGGGAAGAGCAATGGTTTCCCCAAAGTTACTGGTGCTTACTTATTAATGTGTAACAAACAGCTGCACATGTTTTCACCACACATGTGATTATTGAGTACTGCATCTCTGTTAGCGATTGGAACTTGGAAAAAGAAGCTTTGATTCTTAAGGGAGGTGCTGGGGAGGTTGAGAGACAGTCGCCAGCCATTCCTACAAGCAGAATCCTCGAGACGGTGGAACGATGTGAAATTGTTCACTACAGGTTAGCAAGTGAACACAAGCACACCTGTGCTTAACCGTGCTTATTGAGACAGTTACTGCATTGAAGCCAATGAGGGAGAGAATAGTTTAAAAGTAATATATTTTAGGGCATTATGATTATTATTAGAGTCCGGAATGAGGGTTGCAGAGTGGAGTATACTCGGGGTGGAGGTGGGTGTGGGGATGTGAGGGGGATTATGTACCAGTGAAGAGTTTTCCTTCTGCTTTTCAAGGAGAGGAGCGAACTGGGGGTGGGGGGGAGTCAGGGGGGGGGGAGAAAAGTGCAACAATGAATGAATGAATGAATGGAATTCCAAAATCTCTGTAGATGTTCATTGAAATGAATAAAAAAAAGTTAAAAAAATTTAAAAAAGAGACAATAGACAATATTGTGGTTTTTATCTGCCACCAAGTCAGCTTTGACACACAGCAACCTGATTACAAGAGGAGAAAAAGAACCCAAACACTATTCAATCCTGTGACAAAGGTGCACTTGATTCAGGCTATAGTCTTTCCAATCATCTGTTATGCATCTGAGAGCTGGCCAATGAATAAAGAGGACAGAAAATGATTTGATGCTTTTGAGTTGTAGTGTTGGAGATGAGTACTGACTACTCCATGGACTGCCAAAAGGCCCAACAGATATGTCTTGGGGGGGGGGGGAAATGAAGTCAGAGTACTCCTTAGAGCCAACGACAGAGAAATTTCATCTCACATATTTTGGGCATTTTGCTTGCAGAAACTATTTTTTGGAAAGGGACATTATGCTTGAAAAGGTCAAGGGTCAGCAAAAGAGAAGACAACTTTCAATCAGATGGATTGGCACACTGCTGCAATGGATTTAAGTGTGTCAGAGATTGTGAAGAGGGGGATGGCAGGGTAGGAGTTCAGATCTAACATGCATAGGGTGGCTATGAGTCGTACTCAACTCCAAAGCACCTAACAACAACAACAATTCTGTGCTGTCCTCACAATAGCTTCTGTGCCGAAACCACTGTGTCAACTCCTCTGTATCAGTCTTCCTTTTTTCCCATGATCCTCTCCTTTACCAAGCATGATTTCTTTCTCCAAGGACTGGCCCCTTCTAATAGCATGTCCAAAGTATGAGAAAACGAACTTCCACTGTGCTTGTTCTAAGTAATTTCTAGTAAAATCCAGGTGGCGGTGGTGGTGGTGGTGGTTGTGTACTATTGAGTCAGAACTGACTCACAGCTGACCCTCCAGTAGGTTTTCAGCGGCAGTTAATCTCACGGGAGGAGATAGCACATCCTTCCCTGCGGAGCAGCTGATGGCTTTGAAACAGGTGTCATTGCAGCGCAGCTTCTTGCCACTAGGCCACCAGTGCTCTCAAAGTCCAGGTAAATTTTATAAATGTCAAGTATAACTACTACGATGGTTGCAAGCAATTACTCGTGCTTGGGGAGGCAGTAGGTACAGATTTACCAGGCAAAACTTTCCCCTTTATTGTGGGCCTGAACCACGTAGCAGACTTGACAAATGCAACTGCTAGGCACCATTTGGGTTTTTGAGAATTCATAGTCAAAGGTGAGGCCCGAGAAATGGCATTTCCAATAAGTTCTCCAGTGACGTTGATGCTGCTGAACCAGGGTCCCACTCTGAGAACCACTGCTCTGAGGGGTTAATGAGCGGGGAGGCTGAGTCTGGGCTAGGAAAGGTGCTAGAAGTTTCCAGGCTTTCACGCGCACAGTAAGCATCTGTGCTTGTCACTCCATGTGCATGAGCTGATGCCACTGGCAGCTCCGATCCCCTCCTCCCTTCCCCACCCCGCTCCAGAGCCCAGGCCTGTAAACGAAGGATTGGCTGATAGATGGGCTGAGGTTGGCTGGGAGAATGGTCCTGCAGAAGTGAAGTTTATAACAGCTCTGTATTTGGGATCCTTTAATTCATGACTGTCACCATTAAAGATTGACTTCATTTTACATATGCAGCCAAGCTACACGCTCTTATTTTCAAACAGCCTGATGCTAAAACTGAAGCTGATTGTCAAGGTCACACAGGGCGTGGGAGGGCAGAGCTGGTCTCCCAGCACCAAGCGGAGAGCTCTCGCCTCCTTGGTGGTTCCACCACTACTGGGAGGATCCCACTGATGTAACATTCAAATACCCAGCGGGGACTCACCACGAAGTCAGGAGGAGCGTGCTGCTTTGGAGAAAGGCAGTCGTGGGAGGCAGCAGGATCTGGGCATGGAGGACCCTCGACGGAGGAGAACCAATGAGTGGACATGTGACAGGGCATGAAAAGGCACATGGTTGAGAAGGAAAAACCAAATGGGAAACTGGACCCGCTCCATGTAACAGGAAGAACCTCAATAACTACACAGGGTCAGAGCGGAGGAACACAGATGCCCAGGTTGTCTGAGACCCCGCCCAGCAGGGCGTTGCCCCCCCCCCCAGGAGCCGCTCCCAGCCAGGATCTCAGAGGATGCATCAACCACAAACAAATGACTGATGGGCCTCAGCGGGGATCCTAGACACCCCCAAGGCAAGGCAAACACTCACACACATGCACACAGAGGGGCCCCGCAGGGGCTCAGGGGCCACCCAGGCCGACTCAGAGCCCTGGTCAAGATCCGGAGGTTGTCACATCTTGAGGGAGGACAGGAGCACTTTCTAATTAAACCCCGAGCACTTTCTAATTAAACACGACCGGCCTGGTTTGGAGGAAGAGAAGTGAAGTGGTTTGTTCCAGCTGCGTGGTGCGCAGAGCTGGGAAGAGTGCCCAGAACAGTTAATGCCCAGACCCTCTCCGCCTTGCAAATCGCTGCTCGCCTGGGGGTGAAGAGCCATTTATGCCAGGTAAAGGCTGGTGATTTCATTAACTTGATTCCCTTTGCCTTGTCTCCAAGGGCGCACGTTGGTTAAACACGGGAAGGACTTGGTAAAGGGTCAGTTTATAGGACTCCTTGCGCTGCTTTCTCTTTCTCTCTTCCCCTGGCCCTGCCATGTCCCAATGGTAGAGGGATTAGCAGAGAAGAAGGGGTGAGGTGGGGGAAGATAGGGATGGGAGGGAGGGAGAAAGAGAGAGAGAGAGAACAGGAAAACAGACACAGCGACAGAAAGACATAGAGAGAATGCAAAGAGACAGGAAGGGGCTGGCTAGCAGCAGGAAGCCTTGCACAGTGCTGTGGGACAGAAGATGTACCTTTTACAAGTCTCACCTGGCAGCCGCCTCCACCATGTCATCTGCATGCAGAGCTGGCAGGTGCCACTCAGCAGAGGGACTCTGAGTCCCTTTCCAGTGGAGCTGGCTGCGCCCGGCACCATCTCCACCTCTCCATCCAGGTCTCCTGTCCCCTTGCTGCCACTCTTGTCTCTCTGAAGTCCTCTTCCCCACCAGCCTATTAAAGGCTCAGTCATGGTCCCCTGCCTGTGGCCTCTGCTGGAGTGGAATCCAGGCTCCTGGCCGTGGCCTGCCCTCCCCTCAGGCTAACCTCCACTCCTCCTCCTTCCTCTGCTATCTCCGCCCTGCCTCACCAGACTTCTGTCTCAGTAGCTACCTCAGGGCCTTTGCACTCGCTCTTCTTTCTGCCCAGGACCCTTCCACCAGACCCTTCCTTCTGTGTCTTCCTTAACTCCTCAGAGAGACCTTTTTTCCAGATCGTTCCACCCAAAATAGCCCACAGGTCACACACATCCGCCTCCCCAGCTGCATGGGGGAGCATTGTCTGGAGGATCTGCTTGAACGGGTGTTTGCCACCCATTGCCGTCTGCCCGTCACGTGCTTGTGCGTACACACACATGCTCAGGCACACACACGTGTGCACAAATGCACGAGCTCACACGTGGACACTCAGGAACTTCAGCTCCTGGACGTGGGACTTCCTCTGTCCCCTTCGCTGCCACTTGCCCGAGACCTGCCCACCCTCCCTGCCAGAAAGCTGGACCAGTGCTTGGCATAGATTCTACATCCAGCTGTTAAGTGAGGGACCCAGGGTCTGCACTATGGGAAGGCAGCTGGTGACCTGGGAACCCCCAGTCATGCTGGTGCTAGCCACCGAGAAAACCAGGCTCTTAAAGCTGTACCCCTGGATTCCTTTCCCAGACCTGGGGAGCCTGAGACCCTCTTCTCTCCCCAGGAGGTCAGGGTCCAGCCCAGGCTGGGCCTCCCGCTGCTCCCGGCTTCCCTCTAGGTGTCAGGCTTGCCCTGGCTGGGGGCTGCCATCCTGGGCAGCGCTGCCTGGCTGGGGAAGGCCTGGCAGGGCGGCCAGGGGCGGGGCTGGCCTTGGAGTCACGGCTTCGATTCAAGAAGGGAAATCATCCCAGCTTTTAAAAAATTAAATGGAGTCAGTAATTTGATTTCAGAGAGAAGCTGAAAACCTCGTAATGGCAGGAGCAGCTCAATTCCGTGGTGAAAAGGAAAAGCTTTAAATGGGGCTATTAAGCTTTTGCCTGGGATGGATCTGCCCGGAGTAGAGGAAGGAGGGGGGCGGCCGGGGGAGAGAAGTCGTCTTCGGGGTAGAGACCGTCGTTTATCAGCCAAGACAACCCTGATTATTTATTTATTTCGTGCGCGTTCCGGGCGTTGCCCGCGGCCTCCTTGCCTTGGCTGCGATTCAGATCCCACTTCCCGTGATGATTCGGCCTGGGGGTGGGGGCCTCCCAGGGAAGCACCGAGGGCCACGCTCTGGCTCAGGCCGCTGCGCCCCACTCTCGGCTGGGGGCCTCCACACTGGACTTGTGGGCCGGGACTTGGGGAGCACTGACGTCACGGGGGTCACTGGGTCAGTCACAGCGAGCGTGGTGCCAGTTGCTGTCATGGAAGCCAGAGACAGGGTGTGGTCAGTCATAATCATGAAGTCGTGATATCCCAGTCCTCCCCTGCCCTGTGGGGTCCTTTCGGGGTGCCTCAGGTCTGGGGGGTCACTCACTCAGCAACCTCATCATCACCCACAGAGCTGTCTCAAGAATGGTGGCAGCCTTTTCTGTTGCCTGGGATGGACAACTGTCCCTTCTGCACGGGCAGGAGTGGCTGGTAGTTCTAATAGCCTGTGTGGATGACCACAAGGGAAACACGGGCCAGCTGGGGCTTCGCTGTGAGCTTTACCGCCACTGCCTCTCTTGACCCTCAGAAATCCCATCTGGGAGGAATTGCTTGTCTTCCCCATATTTTTTTTAAATTTATTCTTATTTTATTAATTTTTGTGCGTGTACCGTCAAAGCAGATCTGACTGGTACAGGAGGAGATTGCCCTTCCTTCTCCAGCACAGCATCTGGTGGACTCAAACCGCACATCTCTGGGATTGCAGCGTAGCTTCTTGCCACTAGGCCACCAGAGCTCCCTTGTCTTCCCCATTTGACTGGCTGGGGAATGGAGCCACAGAGAGGTGAGAGCTGTGCCCAAGGTCACACAGCAGAGAGCAGAGGCTTAACCAGCACATTCCCGACTATAGAGCCCACATCCTTGATCCTAATGTCTGGGCACAATCAGAGAGAGCTGACACTAGAGAGACCAGACTGATTGACGGGGAGGTGCTCAAGTGGACGTTCCTGTATCCTCTGGGAACCTCAACACTGTCTCTCCCATTTTGCCTGAGGCAGCACCTGGGAAGCTCCCCAGACTCACCCTGAGAGTCACCACGGAGGCCTGTCAAGGGGGGGAGTCCTCAGAAAGCCCCTCCATGATGATCTGAGGTGCAGGGGAGCCTGACTTTCAGGGTTAGCCGCCACCAGGGGCTCCGTCAACTCCTGCAGAGGCGAAGCCCCCTCATCGTCAGGGGAAGGATGGCCAAGCTCCATCAGGCTGGGGGCAGGCGTCTCTGTGGGGAGCTGCAGAGACGAAGGGCTGGAGGTATATGCAGCCTCTCTGTCCTCTTGCTCCACTGCTTGACTGGGGGCTGCGTCTGGTGCCCCTGTGCCTGTGAACGAGGTCGCCAGCTTCCTTGAGGCGGGGCTCAGAGATCTCCGAGGACAACCCGTCAGGTGGCTGTCTTCCCACTCAGTGAGGAGTGGGGTAGGGGTTATGTAGGGTCCACTCCCACCCCGTGCCTTCCATGGGGCTCGGGTCCTGAGGTCCCCAGTGAGGCACTGGGGTCTGGCTGCTGCCCCGACTCCTTGGGTACACTCACTCTTGGGATGATGAATGGGGCCCCCCTCCCTGAAGGATGATAAGTCCTGATGGGGGTCTTGGGACCACAAGTTCAGGTACCCCTCAGTTCCCTCCTGAAAGGAGGCAGACACCTCCTGAGGTGGCCTTGTGGCCTCTTCAATAGAGGATGTTTCTTGGTGCCCCTTGGGAGAATAAGAACTTGTCGCCTCTTCAGCAGGACTAGTCAACGAGGGCCTCGAGGACCTCGTCAGAGGCTGGAGCTCCTCACTGGCCTGCTCAGACTCCCCTGGGACGGGCTTTGTTGTATCCACCTCCCTCTTTGACCACCCTCCCAGCATAAGGGGGCTTCCTGGTGGCTGGGTGGGGTCCTGCTCAGTCTTTCCAGTTCCAAGCCTATCAGTTAGGTTGACTGGTGATTCTGAGGCCGGGGACATTTGAAAACGTTGAAGTCTCCAGAGTAGCGGTTGTGCAGGGGTGACTTCTGAGGACAAACGTGTGGGCAGAGTCGTGGGGTCTGGGGAGACTCGATGTCGCGATCTGGAGCCAGCCTGGACAGTGCCTGAAGATTCTGAGGAGAGTATGGCTGAGAGCAGAGAGTGTCCAGAGAACCCCTCGTCCCCCAGGAATGCTGGGGATCCTGCTGAACCTGTATCACGCTGGGGAAACTGGAGACAGTGGACGTTCAGCTTCTTCCCACAGGCCTGATCGTCTGCAGATATGGCCCAAGCCCCTTTGTCTGAGAAAGCAGTGTAGAAAGAAAAACATTGATAATAAGAGCAGTGAACTTTGTAAAACCTGAGGCTATTGGCCAGAGAAGGGTTCATGGAACTGATCTCTAGCCTGGTCTTGGGGGTCCCATATTGAGGTACCTGGGGAACTCCTGAGTTACTGCCCTCGGTGTGCACAGCTGCTGGCCCTTTCTCTACCTCCTCTCCCCACCCTCCAGGCCCTAGGAGACTGCAGGGGGGGGGGGCTCAAGGAGGAGGTGCTCTTAATGGGGAGCTCTTAGGGTCTCCAGCTTTCTGGGGGGTACCCTTCATTTCAGGAGGAGGTGCCATGGCCCGGAGTTGGGATGGACTCTCTTTGGAAGAAATGGAGTTGAAAGAAAGGGAGTTGATGCCTCGGGAGCCTGGCAACTGGAGGAAACTGTAGTCAGAAGAAATAGAGACAGATATGCATCTGCAGTCCATCCGACCCACAGTATGCAAAGCCCTTCCTCAAAGCCCCTGCAGATCAGAGAGAGACAGCAGGTGGCATACCTACTTGAGGAGTGTCTGGTACTGAGGACTCAGAGGAGGGAATGGTCCTCAGCATGTCAGATGAGGCAGGCAACTCTGTCCCCAAACCTGCCAGAAAGGAAGCCAGCGTCAGCCTTCTCCTGAGTAAGAAAAACCTACCCATCCTTTTCTGTAAGGAACCATGTGTGTCCGCTTTCCCTAGACAGGACACATAGCACCAGCGGGCAAGTTCAAGTACAGGCTTAGGCCTGGAGTTCCCAGACCTGGACAGAGAGGGAGGAAAATGTGACATAGAACTAAAAATTCTAAAAGTTACCAGGCTTGCTGATCTAAATGAGACTTGAAACTATGGCTCTTAATTTGAGCCTAGAACTAAACTCAATTCTGTGGCTCAAATTTCAGCCAAATAGTAGGCACAATTATCAAGTGAACAATAATACCAGGGAGGCAGTCACTACTTAGAACAATCAATCAAATAAGATCAAAAGGCTCAGAGAGAATGCTCAGAAAGCAGGAAGGAACAGGATAAAAAGATGATGGAAATGAGAATCATAGAGAGACAGTGGGAGGAATACAGTGCCTGGATCTACAGGAATGACAAAATGCAAAATTAATTTGCTGTATAAACTTTCACTCAAAGCACAATAAAAAAGTTTTTTTTAAAAACTATGGAGTAAATCTTTTTAAAAAGAATGAAAAGAATCAATGTCTTTGAGTTGTGGTGCTGGAGAAGAGTATTGAACATTACTAAAAGAACATACAGGTTTATCTTGGAGAGAGTGAAACCAAGTTCCTCCTTGGAGGCGAGGATTTTGAAGCTCCATCTCACATATCTGGGCATGTGGCCAGGAGGGGCCAGTCCCTAGAGAAGGACATCATACTCAGAATGGTGAAGGGACAGTACAAGAGAGGAAGACCCCGGCTGAGGTGGATTGACTCAGATTGGGGCAATGGGGACAGGTGTGTCCAAGACAATCAAATTGGCTCAAAATAGAGCAGAGTTCAGAACTATTATACAAAGGATCACTATGAGTCACAAGCCACTTTACAGCCCATAACAACAACAACATGGAGTATAGCTTTACTGACACAAGTTGAGGATGACTTGATGGCAGCTGTTTTGGGAGGAAGTGGCCACTCTGTTTACAGACGCAGGCTTCTGGGTCATAAGAATCTTGATCAATCTCCAGCATCCCTTGGCACCACATATCAGTACTGCTGATCATCCTGCAGTGAGTTTTCTTCTCCTCCTGCTGCCTCATCCCTTTCTGCTCTCCACCTGACCCATGGAATTGTTGCCATTGTGGAACCAGCTTTATAATCTGAAAATAGCCAGAGCTAACCCAGCGTCAATTGCTATGGGGGAATTCTGCCTCACGGCGCTCCCACGCATGTCAGGGAACAGGACGCGTAGCATTTTCAGTGGTTCAGGCCTTTCTTCTGATATGCCTCTGAGTGTGCTCAAACCTCGAGCCTTTTGACTACCTGTCGAGTGTGTCAACTGGTCATATTCCATAACTAAACGCACCCCCTTAATTTCTTTTCTGCAGCCTGGATGCTCCATTTCCTCCACTGTCCTTAACATGTGTGATCTGAAATAAGTAGAACTTGTCCTAACGGATTTAGTCACTTTGGAGGGAGGGGTGAGAAGGTTAGACGAAATACATATAAAAAAATTAACAAATCTGTAACCACAGAGAGCTAAGGCCATCCCTGCTTACTAGTATACCAATTTACTAGTTACATGTAGTTGCTGTGATGGTGTGAGTCGGAATGACTCATAGCTGACCCTCCAATGGGTTTTCAGATGCAGTCAATGGAACAGGAGGAGACTGCCCATCCTCCTCCCGCAGAACAGCTGGTGGACTCAAACCACGTGCCTTTGGGATTGCAGGGCGGCTTCTTACCACTAGGCCATCACAGTTACATATTGTTGTATGTGCCATAGAGTTGCTTGCGACTCATAGCGACCCTCTGTACAACAGCCCTAAACCCTGCTCTGTCCTGTGCCAGTTGCACTGTTTCCAATACACCCATCCTGATTATCCCAGTCACTGAATCAATCCACCTCATAGAGGGCCTTCCCCTCCTGCGCTGTCCCTCCATCCTACCAAGCATGATGTCCCTCTCCAAGGACTGGTCCCTCCTTAAAACATGTCCAAAGTATGTTAGATGGAGCCTCAGAATCCTTGCCTCCAGGAAGCAGCCCAGTTTAACCCTTTCCAGGACGAATCTGTTTGTTTTCCTAGCAGTTCATACTCAATACTCTTCTCCAGCACCACAGCTCAAAGGCATCAATTCTCCTTCTATCTTCCTTAGTCATTGTCCAACTCTCTGATGCATAGCAAGTGATAGCAAAGACCATGGCCTGTATCAGATGCACCTTAGTCTCCAGAGAGACACCATTGCTCTTCAATACTTTGGAGAGGTACGTAACAGTAGACTTTCCCATCACAATATGTCTTTTAATTTCCTCGCTACTGGTGCTGAGAGTGTTAACTGTGGAGCCAAGCAAACTAAAGCTGTGAACACTCTCAATCTCTTCACCATCCATCCTGATGCTGCCAATTGGTCCAGTGGTGAGAATCTTTGTCTTCTTGATATTGAGCCTCAATCCGTATTGGAGACTGCAGTCCTTGACCCTCTGCAGCAAGCGCTTCAGGTCCTCCTCAGTTTATATCCTTTGCCTAAAACATTGTCTTTTCATTCCAAGTGAATGTTCAGTGGACTCATTCCTAAACGTTTGCCACGAGAACAACAGCGTGATAAGGCATGGCAAGAACCAAAAGCTGAACGAAAACCCAGTGTCTGATCCCAAGGCGTTCACAGATGAGAGGAACAAGCCCTGCACCAATAGCTCAACTAATAAGCATGGAAAGTTCTAGAAGCTTCAGGGGAGTCATAGAAAAGGTGCACTGGGAACGAGGGAGAGGAGAGATTCATTGTGGCTGCTGATATTAAATTACTAAAACGAGGGAGAGAACATTCTTTCCCCACGTAAATCTTTCCAGAGAGGCTAAAAAAAAAAAAAAAAACCCCAACCAAAAAAAAAAAAATCCCTTCCTAAAATGTTTTTTATTGCTCTTGCTGATATATTTTTATACTTTATTCACTATCTCCCTATCAAGCATCTACTCTATCTTCAAAGCCCAGGACAGAGAAGCATCAGCTCTTTGGCGTCTCTCCCCCAAGCCTGCCTGCCTGCCATCTTCATTCTCTGGAAGGATCTTATCTTCCTCTCCAGATCGCACGCTGCTTGGAGGCAAGGACCGAATCTGGAGGTGGCCCCTGCACCCTCCACGCCCTCCCACAGTCAGTGCTCAAGTAAGTATTTGTTGGCTCGGAGTCGAGCCTTCCTTTTCAATCAGTGCTGCCGGAAGTTAGAAATAAAAACAGCAAAAATGTGTAAAAATGTTCGAGAAACATTTCCATTTTTAGCAGGATGTCAGAACTCCCTGCCCTCCCCCATGCCGCCTTCTCCTTTGTTTCTAATTCTGAATTTGGGGCTAGATGTGGTAGGCAGTCCCCCTTTTAATCTTTAAAACCGAAACATCATATCCTGGTAACGGGGCATTCTTGCGCTATTAACATCTGAGTTAAATCTCCTTCGCGTCTGTCTTCTATTGAGGACAGTTAGGAATTATAAGATGAAAGTGATCGCCATCATTTGTGAATTATGTGTATTTCCTTATGCTGTATTTCAATGGGTTTTGCTCCTGGTGGTTTTGCATGTGTGAATACCAGGTTGTCTGGTGGCTGTGCTTTCACCGAGGACATAGCCCCCAAAGTCCCTTTTGAGACACGAAGCCAGTATCTTGGCACCGAGGATACACGCCACATTAAGAAGACGGGTCTTCTTGGTTTGAGGGGTAAATTGCATCACTTCATACTCTTTATAGTCAAGGAGCTCGGTCTATTAAGTGACCTGAAGAACTGGGGACCACCCAGACACCTCCAGATAGATCAAAATGGAAACCACCAATCTTATCCCAGGCTTCCTTCTAAACCTCTCACTCCTGTTCTCATTGAATCTTCACAACAGCCCCAGGGGGCCAGTACTGATATACCCATTTAGCAGCTGAGAAAACTGAGGGTCAACAAGATTAAGTGAATCACTGAAGTCCAGCAGGGTTGATTGGTCTTGATTGATGCAAGGTTGATGGTTGATTTCCCTTTGCCTAGAGACTTAACTTCAGAGTTAGCAATCATGTCCCCACTTGGCTCACATGCTATCTCAGTGTGTCTGACACCATCATTACTTGGTTGGGTGTGGAACCTGTAGGGTCCACAAAGGAAAGCTTTATCACAGGAGGAAGTACACCAGGGCCAAGGGAAAGAGGTTCTAAGCAGGCACAGCTTCATGGTGTTTCACTTACCTGTGCACTGAAAGAAGTTCTCCACTGTCCAGAGGACTGGAGTGGCCATCTCTGCAAATTCTAGCCTCAGGTCGACCCTGTAGAAAGCTTGCATTCCGGGGGCTCCTTGGCCTTCCTGGCATTGCTGTGAGACGAGGAATTAGAGAGGCATGTAAGAGAGGTGCACTTGACACACAGAGGCAAAGATGACAAGCTTCATCCCACATGCTTTGGGCATGTTGCTAAGGAAGGATTATTCCTTGGAGAGAGAAACCAGGCCTGGAAATGTGGAGGGCTGACAAAAGACAGAACCTCAACCAGATGGATTGACACAGTGACTGCAGCAATGGGCTCGAGTGTGTAAAAAATTATGAAAACGGCACAGGATCTGTTGTTCATAGAGTCACTATGAGTTGTACTTGATGGTACCTAACAACAACAAGAAGAGAGGTGCGTTCTATACCTAAGGAGTCACCTTGGCCAAGGAGCCCAGCCTCAGAGTCATGCAGGCCACAGTCCATGATCACCAGCCCCAGAGTTCTCTCTCTGGATTGGACTCCACGTGGGTCAGTGGCCCAAAGGTGAAGGAGCTTCAGAAAGGGACAGTACAGCAGAGGCCATAAGACACCGACCTGGACCTGGAGTACCCCAGCTGCAGGGATGCTGACGACCACAAATTCTGGGCTTTCCATGACTGCAAAGGTGCTGAGCTGATAGACGTGGAGGAACCGAAGGCTCAGGCTTTCCGTGATGTGGGAACCTCTTTTGACCAGACCCAGTCGTTGTTTGGGGATGTGAACTAAGATCTCCTGCTCAGGCTGGGACGACACTGAAGTGGAGAAAAACACACTCACAAAAATACACCACCACCACCACCACCCCGAGTACTTAGACGAGCCCTTAGCCAGAGCCATGGCTGAGGTCTGCAGAAGTCAGTGACCTGAGATGGCCCCCTTGGTGTCCTCGCATCCCTGTCTGCCCTGGAACTTGGCTGCACTAAGGAAGAGAAGGAAGAAGCCATCCCCAAACACCAGCCGACCTGCCATTTGCCAAGGCGTGGAAGGAAGCCAGTGCCAGAAGGGCTGCTGACCTAGGAAGCTGCCGAAATGCTTCGGCCAAGCCTGTGTTCAGCCTCAGTGGCCTCGCCTGGTGCCCCTTCCATGACCAAAGGCTCTTCGAAGATGTACAGTTCCTATCAGTTGTTTACACTTTAGCAAGAATTTCAGCGTGTCAGCTCTCTCCAGGGGCGTTTTAAGCCAGCTCTGCAGTTGCTAAATGAAAGCATCTGTCTCCAAATGCAGAGATTTTTGAACGTGGCAAGCAGGAGGAGAGCTGTCTAGGGACCTGGAGAGCCCATCCCCTAAACTCGCCAGGGCCGTCATGGCGAAGTGCGTTGCATAATAAAATTCTACACAAATGTGAAGTCTCAGTCACTGCAGAGCTGCCCACGCAAGATGAAGCCTCTGCTCTGCCTAATTTTGCATACAGAGTTCTTTAGAATTGAAATTCCCTAGAGGCAGGAAGTAGTCTTCCTGGCCTCCCTACCTTACATAAGGCACAAGGAACCACGCAGTAACCGAGTCGTCCCGGGCTGAACAGAGTAGTTATAAAGTGCATGGTTGAGATCAGGGCCCTGTGGGACCCCAAACCCCAAAAAAACCTACTCCAATTGAGCCAGTTCACCCCCACGGCGAGCCTCCATCAGATTTCAGAGGCTGTGAATCGTATGGGAACAGACTTTGGGGATTCAAACCATGGATCTTTTCATTAGCGGCTCAAGATGTAACACTCTTTTTCACTAGGGCTGATCAGTGGAACCTCAGAGAAAGTTCTGGAAAGTCTGATGAATGCAGAAGATCTCCCACCTGTGTGGGTCATTCCCAGGCTTCTCAGATTCCTCTGGGATCCATCTGGAAAGTCCAAGCAGCTGGGAGACCCCAGGATGAGAGGCGATTCTGCTTTCATCCATGCTCGGCTTCGCACCCCTCCTCCATGCCACCACTGTCACTAGCAAGGGCTTAGACTCGTCTTAGAAATGTCCAGCCAAGGATGGGGTAAAGGAGAGGAGAGGTGGGATGGGATGCCTGAGAAGAAGATGTCCAGAGGAAGGAGGAGAAGAGGTTGACGGCCCTGGGAAAGACGAGTTCCAGGGGTGCTCCTGGTCTTACCCGGTGGGCAAGTGGCTTTTAAAGAATAGGCCATGTAGGTGTTCACCAGCCAGAGTGGCAGGAGCTCCGTGGAGGTGTTCAGCACCTGCCAAGACAGGAGTGTCCCTTGTGACCTCTAATGTGCTTCTTCCAGAGCAAATTCCCTGTGCCAAGGCCCCTACCCCACTTCCCACCGTTGGGCCAGTCCCTCGGCTAACCCCCCTGACCTGTTCCCAGCCCAGGCCGGGGACTGCTGCTCCGCTGCAACCAGGAAATATTATTTTGCCAGGATATTTTTAGCAGGAAGAGTGCTCGGAGCAAATGTCATGTGAGCCGTCTTCTCTTACACGGCAACTTTGGGCTATTTAAGGAGATGGTAATTACGCTCCTGCCACCATGATCAGTGCGAGCGGAATACGTGATTGCAGAAGCCCCTCATCTGCCGAGCGGAGCACTTTACGCTAATGGGGCCCAATTTTCGAAGCCGCCTGCCTAAATCTGTCCAGCTTCACAGGTGGACATTTGAAATGGCACCAGAGGTGTGGCGAAGCGCTCCTGGGGCCTCACCCCGACTTCCACCAGAGCCTGGGCCCACCACTGACCTCCTGCCACTGCAGAAGCTCCAGCCTGGGGCTTTGGATGGTGATGGTGGTGGCGTTGACGTCCACGTACAACCCTATCAGGCTGGCATCCTCCAGGGATGTCACCAGCTCCCCTCGAAGGGACAGCAGCCATGGGGTCTGAAAACAGGAAAACACTTCTAAACCACCTAGCCAGGGGGAGCCCATCATGGGGAGAGGGGGTAGAGGTGAGAAGAAGGAAGTTTGAGAGGACAATCAGGAAGGGCCATCAGCAAGGGGATCAGGACCAGGAGGCAGAGCAGATAGGCCGCAAAGGAAGAAGGTAAACTGACCACTTCCACTCCTAGAATTTGGGGAAGCAGACAACTTGCAGGAGGGTGTGGCATGCAGTCCGCGGGCAGGGTGACAGAAAGAATGAGTGGCCTATTAACCCAACTGCAGTGCCGGCCATATTTGGCCCTTCCAGTCACCCCGGAGTCCAGCCCTCAGTTCTATTTCCCTGCAGGTCGTGGATCATCAGGGATGGGGGGGGGGGTGTGAGTGCTGAAGTGTTGGAAAAAGGGAAAAGGAAGTTCCCATCCTAGGAAGACTGGCTGCAGAAATTAGGGAGAAGACATGTTTATCTTCTGGATGTGCTCACTGACTTCAGACATCTAAGGGGAAGTGACCCAGAGAAGGCACTGGCTCCTTGTGAGAGGCTACAGAGAAGAGGCCTACAGCCAGCAAGAGGGAAGTTCTAGAAAGCTGCTCGGTAAGGGAATAAAGGGCTTCACAGGAGTGAGCTCCCCATCACACAGAAGCTAAGTGTGAAGACTTCCAGCCCAGCCTCCCACTCAAAGCTGAGGTCCCTTCTTGGGGCTCTGAGAGGAACCCGGAACCTCCTGGAATTTGAGGAGATTTAAGGAAATCACCTTCCAGGAAGGTGCCAGGGGCAATGGGAGGAGACAGGGGGACAGGGTGTGTCACAAATCAGTATTGTGCACAGTCGCCTGCAAGGGGGGCACCAACCCCACACACTCCAAAGGAGGCCAGAGAAACGCAAACCCTCTGCCTCTGAGTGCACCAGGCCCACAAGAATGGGGCCGTGCCTTCTGGAAAGTTCTCCTGCCTCACCTACCTGTCCACTGGAGCTTCCCAGGGGCAGCGGCCGAGAGACCTGCAGAACAAAGAGGAGGTAACATCTCCCTGGCAGGCAGTAAGAAAGGTGAGTGAGTAAACATTTCTGCCTAAGCACATAAGAGCTGGCAATTACCCCAGCAGGGGGCTGGCGAGAGCGAGGTGCCAGCCGGGTTGTTTGCTCATTAAGACAAGAAAATCATTTATGTTCAGGGAGTTGAGTGTCAACAGACCAGGGAAATGTCGCCGCCTCAGCTGCTGCCCTGGGCCCGGACGTGGGGCAGCTGGGGTCTCGGGCACAGCTGGCACAGCCAAGAGAAGCTATGCCTGTGGTGGGGACGCCACTGAGGGCCGGCTTGTCATTGGCGTTGCTTCCCCAGGCCCCTTTGTGATCTTGCTTTTCTCTGTAATTTGCTCATATCTCTTTGCTCTTTTTCTTTCTGTTCTGGTCTAAACAAGCATTGATGGAGAAAATGCTCTGTACGAGTCAGAGGAGGAACAATTATGCTGTGAGTTCCAGTGGCTAATTTTTGTGGGCAACTGCCTGGACTTCTCTGAAATTCGCTGGCCTCCCAAACTTAGAAGCAGATGACCAACACTTTCTTCCAAATTGTGTCTGAGGAGACTCAACCCTTCAACCTTTAAGTTAGCAGTTAAGTGCATTGGCCATTTGCACTATTCAGGGGATTCCAGAACCAGCCAGACCCACCCTGGGTCAGTCGGTCATTCTCTCACACTAGCGCCTCACAACCACCCCTGGTGGTGACACCCTTCTCCCCATTTCACAGCTGAAGTGCCTCCTTGGCGCCCTCCACCAAGCCTCGCCCTTCTCTCTTTTTCTCACCCAGGATCTCAGTGTCAGAGCTGGGCAGGGCGGTCAGGAAACAAGGACAGTCATATACCATCAGAGAGCCTCAGAGCCCGCTCCTGGCTGCCCATGGAGGGAAAACTGAGGCCAGAGAGGAATGGATGGCTTTGTCAAACCCCTGACTCCTCTGCACCGGCTGAGAGGGGCTCTTGCTTAAATAGCAAAACGCTCCCCCCACGCCCCTCAGCTGAGTCTTAACCCCGGGGTCCCACAGCTCTGCTGCACCTTCAGCCGAGAGCGCCTCGCCCAGCAGAGGGCGCCCTGGAGAGCCCTGCCTCCCAGGAGTCCGCGTTCAACAGCTTTCACTTGGGAGGAAAGAGGGCGGGACGGAGACTAGGGCTGAGATTTGGTGGTAGGAAGGCGACCAAGCGTGTCACCTTCAACCCCTGAAGCTCGGTCCTCTGTTCCCAAGTCCCAGTCCGATCCAGTGCCATCTGGAGGGAAAGAGAGGAAGCCTCGGAGGCTGGGTTTGCAGAAAGAGGGAAACAGTGGTGCTCCACAAGGCGAGGCAGGCCTCCGACCAGATAGCGGGCGGAGTAAATTCCGCCCCTCGCCCTCCAAGGCCCGCCTGCCGGTCCGGCGGGGAGAGGCTATATTTAGGGCCCGCGGACGTTCCGCAGGACCTCTGGCCGCCTGCGCAGGGAGCAATCGCTAATCACTGCATTGAGTTTACGGGTGCCCCTGGGCACACTTAACCCAGGGCAATGAATAGTTATTGCCGGCCTCCCGCTCGGGGCCTGTGGGCACACTTAAGCGAGCGCGCGGATGGCTGCGTGCGGGGCACGGCTCGGGTACACCCTTGGGCACCCTGCGCCATCAGCGGGGAGAGGCAGAGTATTAAATATCTATGTGCCCTGTGCCCACAGCTGCATTTAGCCAAGGGCAAGGCCGAGGAAACGACTTTAATTAAAACTTAATGCAAGTTCAAGGTGCAGCCACGGAAGGGGCGGGCTGCAGAAGTCACCAGGAATGAATCCGTCAAGGAGATGAGGGTCTGGGGTAGGGGAGGCGGATGGTGGGCAGGGGGTTGGCAGAGATGTGCCGTGTCCAAAATTCGGAGAAGTTCAAGACACCTCGGGTGGAGAAGGGCGATGGGGATTCGGGAGTGGGCTGCAAAGGCGGGACAGATCGCGACAGGACGGATCTCGCTTTTCTCAGCAACTTGGCTCAGAGTCGCTGAACATCGGCAAGAACAGCCCCCTGGTGGCAGTTTCTAAAATTACAGGCCCAATGAAGAAAGGAACGCCCAAGCCTGAAAAGTCAACCCCAAATCTTGGCATTCTGGAGTAGGGTCATAGAATTCTTAGAAGGCTCAGCACCAGGGTTGAGAGGGGCACTATGTGCCACTGAGAAGGTGGGTGGGCAGGAAAAGGCCCATCTGCTCAGTCCCTCTCCTTAAGGTTGGGAGACAAATGAGCTGCAGGGACCCATCCAGCTAAGAGGGCGGGGTTTGTGACTTCTTCCTTGCCACCACGCCTCACTCCAGTCACACATTGTTGTTGTTGTTGTTGCTGTATTGTGAGGTGCCATCGGATCAATCACAGCTCACCTTGTGAACCACAATCCTGCCCCCTGCGCTATGCTGCCCCATCCTCACAATCTCCACCACGCCCGAGCCCACTGTTACAGTCACTGAGTCAATCCATCTCCGTAAGTGACCTCCTCTCTCTCTTTCTCTGACCTCTTTTTCCAAAGATTGGCCACACATACAAGTTTATAAATTCAGACCAGGAGGAAATCGGACTATCAGCTTTTCCCCGAGTGCAGAAGGCTGTGTCAGATCCACATTTGTTCTCTGGGCACTCGCACAGGGCCTGGCAGCTTGCTGTTGTGAGCTGTCATATTGCTCCTGCCTTGTGGCAACCTCATGCACAATTTCATGCAACTCTGCCCAGCCCTGAGCCGTCCCATGGTTTGTTGTGGACTGGAACATTGTTACCTGTAGGTAGGGCTTTCATTTTCAGGAGTGGATTGCCAGGCCTTTCCTCCTTGTTAGTCTGGAAGCTCCACTGGCTTTAGCATCCTAGCAGCATGCAAACCTCTACTGACAGATGGGTGGTGGCTGTGTGTGAAGGGTGTTGGCTCCGAATCAAGCCCATATCTCTCCCATGGAAGATAAGAATCCTACCCCTGAACCAGCACAGTTGTTAGCTGCCTTGCGTCATGACGACACAGTGACTCATGATGGCCTGAAGGATAATAGAATGAAATGCTGCCTGGTCCTGCACCTTCCAACTTTGAAAACTCAAACTCACCGCCATCAAGTCAGAACGGACTCTCATACCTGACTCTCCAGGGAGTTGTCAGAGGCTCTAAATCACTCTGGGCCAGGCTGCCCATATTCCTCCCAAGGAGCTCTCTGCCAGAGAGTTTGCAGTCCACCTCCCCACTGACTACATCACCAGAACTGCCTGCACGATGCCCTAAAGCCTTCCTGTGTGTAAGTCACAGCTGAATCCCCTCTGTTAACACACCTCATGGAGGTTAACCCTTGTTTTCACTGAGCCTCCCACTTTATCAAGCATGATTGCCTTTTTCCAGTGGCCTGACACATACAACAACCAAAAAACCAAGCCTGCTGTTGAGTTAATACCAACTGACCGAGATCCTGTAGGACAGAGTGGGGTTTGAGGGCTACAACGAGGTGGATTGACACAGTGACTGTAACAGTGGGTTCTAGCATGCCAGAGCATGAGGATGGCAAATGAGAAGGCAAGGTTCCGACCTGTGCTTCCTGGGGTCACGATGGCTCCTGGTCGACTCACTGGCATCTAACAACAACAGAACAAATACTATTGGGAGCAGACTGCCCCGTCTTTTGCTGTGGAGTGGGACTGGGTTCCAACCACCTACCTTTTGATAACAACCTTGCACTTGAACCACATCGCCACCGGGGGCCCACCTAATGAGCACGTAGTAAACACCTGCTGAATGGTGATTGTCTTCGCACCGTTTTTGCTCTGGTACCCTCCTTGCTGGCATTCTTTCTCCTTATCCTTCCCTTCTCTCCTTCCTCAGCCCACTCTTCCTCATGTTCTCTGGCAAGGCTACAGACTGGCATCATTCAGGCCAAATTCAGCCCACGATGGAGCCACTGGGTGGACTGACACAGTGACTGCCACAATCAGCTCTGGTGGGTCAGGAAGTGTGAGGGTGGCACAGGATAGGACGGGGTTCAGATCTGTTGTTCGTAGGGTCACTGTGGATCGTACTCGACTCAACAGCGCATAACAACAATGGAGCCACATGGCACTTTAAAAAATATTGTTTAAAAAATTATTTCTTTATTATTATTATTATTGTCTGTGTGTACCGTCAAATCAGATCTGACTGGTACAGGAGGAGACTGCCCCTCCTTCTCCAGCAGAGCATCTGGTGGGTTTGAACTGCAGACCTCTGGGATTGTAGTGCAGATTCTTGCCACTAGGTCACCTAATTTTTTTTTTAATTGAGCCAACTCTTTTTAAAATCAAGAGATTTTATGAAGGATAGTATGAAACACAATGTTTACTTTATCTGCAACTGCAAACTATATGCAAACTAATATAAATTTTAAAAAAATTTACATGCAATTAAAAATTTCCAGTTTCTTTGAAAAATGAGCTATGGTAGCCTAGTCCATAGTCAGTTGCGCTGCTGGTTCAAAGGTAGCATTTCTTTGGCAGTTCAACTCTACCAGCTGCTCTGAGGGGGAGAGATGGGCAGTCTCTTCTCATGTGAGTTACAGCCTCTGAAAACCCACTGGAGCTATGAGTTGGTTCTGACTCGACAGGAAGCAGTTTCTTTGAGAAGCTGGACAAGCTGATAAGACGAGGCTGGGGTGAGTGACAGCACTCCTCTTGAGGGTTTGGGTTTGGAGGGCATCATTGCTCCAGCTCCCCAAAGAGCCAGCCTCTGCCAAATCAAAGCCCGCCCTGCCATCACCTGTCAGGGGCCCTCAGGCCATCCTTCTTAATGTATGTCCAAAAACAAAGTTCAGAAAACAGGCAGGCACAGAAAAGAAGGCTGAATGGAAACTGGAAACCAAAGAAGGAAGTAGGGGAAATGCTATTCCATTTAGGGGGTTGCAACACATGTTACAAAACAAAATGTGATAAACTATTAGATGAAGATTAGTTTGCATTATAAACCTCCACCCAAAATGAGAATAACACATCAAAACAAAAAAAGAACAAAGATCTTCCTTCCCCCTTTTTCATCATCCCATTTCACCTCTCTTTCAGACTTCTCCCACTTATCCTGTCACTTCTTTCTCCACAAACCATGAAAGAGAGGGGGTGTTACACATAAAAGGTTGGTGGCACCCAGCACCCAGTCAATGCTGATCCCAGTACCAGCTCCTGCACCTCCAGCCACCACCTCCCTGCTAGGACTACCTCCTGGATTCAGGGGCTCCACTGCCTGCTATGACCTTGGAAGGAACCAGACCTGGGATGCCCCTTAGACCCTTAAGCCCTTTACCTGGACGAGCGTGGGGGTACATTGGACATGCACCCGGCCGGGCCTCGCCACTGGCAGCGGACACTTCATTACATAGCCGTCACTCTGCTCCAACCTTCTCACCCCTTTCTGAAATATTCTGATTTCCAACCTATAATTTGCTTGCTGGAAATAGGGCAAAATTCATGTGTGCAAATGAAAGAGGGAAATACAGTTAATAGGCTGCAATTATAGGTCAGTGCCTCTTCATAGCGAAAGTGATTAACACTAACTGCCTGCACCCGGCCGCTGGAAGAGGGCCTGAGGCTGGCAGGGACTCAGAACATGACTTCCGGCTGTGGCATTCCAGCCCCGACACCCTTGGAGGGAGGGGGTCACTGGTAGATTTCATGACATTCAAGTGAGGTTGTACAGAACAAGCGGTTCATGGGAGCCTCGTCAAACGGTTGACAAACATTTGTTCCTTCAACTCTCTTGACTGTCTCGTAGACCAAACAAACCACCGTATCAAGTCGTTTCTGACTCAGCTCAACCTTGCGTCTGTTGTCTAAGCCTTCAAATCTTCATGAGATGAGACTGCCTTCAGAAGGCTGGATTTGAACTGTTGACCTTTTGGTTAACAGCACAGCACACAATGTGCCACGCCACCAGAGCTCCTTACGACTGCCTCATGGGAAACAAGCAGAAGACCAGCACTGCCGTCAATTAACTCTGGCTCAAGCTGACCCTCAGTTGGGTGTCTGAGGCTGTGAAATCTCACCAGGAGCAGACTGCCTCAATCGTTCTTTTGTGGATTGAGTGGATTAGAACTGCCTACTTCTTGGTGAACAGCCTAACAGGTAATGCAATCAAAAACTTTTCTATTTCTATTTTACAGGTGAGGCAGCCGAGGCTCAGAGGAGGTAACTAAGTCAACTGGCATGTGGCTATTCCTGGATTCAATGAAGACCAGGTCAGACTCCTGGAACTCCACCCAGCAATCCCAGAAGACATCTGGGGCTCACGTCATTCAGCCACAGGGGGAAGGACCAGAGTGGGGGCTTGAAAATGGTGCGTATGGAGGGAGGTACAAAAGAAGAGAGGAAGAGAAAGTGAGCAAACAGAATGAAACTCACTGTCATCAAGTAGACACTAACTTATAATGAGCCTACAGGACAGAGTCGAGCTGCCCCAGGGGGTTCCTGTAATCTTTAAAGAAGCAAATAGTCACATCTGTCTCTCAGAGTAGCAGCAAGGTTTGAACAGGCAAGCTTTGGGCTGGCAATGCTTAACCTACAGCACCACCAGGGCTCCATCAGAAAGAATATTTTAAAAACAAAAACCGGAACTGTTACCAAGCTTATTCTGATTCATGGTCACCCTCCATCCTATTTCCAAGACTATAAATCTTCGAAGGAGGAGTTCTCTTCCTATCTTTCTCCCAAAGAACAAACTGGTGGATTCAAATCAAAGACCTTGATTTTCAAGATTGTCAAAAGACACTGTGCCACCAGGGCTGCTTCAGAAATAGCATGAAAACTCAAAAAATCCACAATTATTGCTGTCAAGTTGAAACCCACTCATAGCTGACCCTCCGTTGGGTCTCCACGGCTGTAGATCACACTGGAGGAGATGGCCTGGTTTTCTCCCCCAGAGACGCTGGTGGATTCAAACCATCAACCAGGGAGGCAAGGCCTTCGGTTGGGCAGTGCCTCTTCCTACACCATACAGACTACACACCCAGCGCTCCCTCAGGAATATCACTGTTTCTACAAATTCTTCCTCCACTATAGGCCAAAACCCCAGCTGGGAGGGACTCTGGACTCGGACAAGAAAGCGAAAAGAAAATGAAGCAAAGAGGAAATGGGAGAATAAAGAAAAGAAAAATAAAACTAACAGGGATCCATGGAGGGGCTGTTTGTCCCTGGGTAGTATAAAACGCTAAATGTTCGTCTGCTGGCCCAAAGGTTGAGGTTTGAGCCCACCCAGGTGCCTCAGAAGAAAGACCTGGTAATCTATCTGTGGGAAATCAGCCTTTGCGAATCCCGTGAAGGGCAGTTCTGCTCCCATACACAGAGGGTCACCTGGAGTCACAACCGACAGCAACTGGTTAAGTTTTTTGATGGGGCAGCTTGGCCAGAAGCTGAACCTCCTGGCCCCCAGGTCACCAGCCTGCTAAAATCGGAACATCTCCCCAGACTCCTCCCCGCCCCACCTCCCGCCCTGCGAAAGGGAGCATGAGTTCACCCTCTGACTGGCGTGGTGCACCCCCTTGTATCTCAGCTCCCAAGTTCCCTGCCTCGGCTTAGCCTTTCCTGCGGTGCAGTGTGGAGCCTGAAGCTCAAGCAATGTGGAGGAGGAGGACTCATTAAGAAATCATAATTAGCTGACTTGTTTCCTTTACATTATCTGACTTTTGCAAATTTTTCAAGATCATGTAGCATCTATCAGAAGGAGGCTGTCTAGATCTTGAATGTACCTTTGGCTTAGTCACCTCCTCTAAGCCACAACTGTCTCATCTGTAAAATGGGAGTAATAAAACCTTCCTATGACATAGTCCTGAAGGCCAAAGGTGGCAAATGTTTGTCAACTGTCAAACGATGCTCCAGGGAACATGTGAGGGACATGTGCCAGTGGGGGGCCTGAGAGCTTCTGTACGCCCAGCTCCACAGTAGCTCCACCCCTGCAGAACTCCACAGTATCATATGTTCACTTTCTTACACACTTATTGAGCACCTGCTGTGTGCCAGGTCCTGATGTCAACACTCCAGATACTGACAAATACTCCAGATCTAGAAGGGAGATGGCTGTATAAGCAGATACACAGTAACAGAAACAGGTGCATTGCACGTAGGAAGAGTGACCCGCTGTCAGGAAGACTGCCTGGAGGAGGTGGTATTTGAGTTAACGGCACTTCTTATGGCTGTGTTTCTAAGATCTTCCAGGGCACAGCCTGGGTATTAATGTTTTTTCTCTCTCAGCTCAGTGTCAGGTGTGGGGTAGGTTTCTACAGAGGAAAACATCTCTATTCAGCATCTGGGCTCAAGCTTTGTTGCCTAGAAGTGCTCCAAAAGACCTTAAAAATGCCTCCCAAACCCACCTCCTTCTTCACAAAGCAGGCAGAGTAAAGAGCTTGAAAAATGAAGTCACCATCAGAATCAGGGTGCAGGAAGTAGCCACATTTAGCAAGAAAAGGATCCAGGTGACGAGAGGTCCTCCAGGTCCCTATAACAAGAAAGGGGTCTGCTTAGGTTCGTTCCCCACGTTAAGTCAGGAATCTCAGATATCCAGAGCAAAGGGCTGCTCTGCCTAGAAGCTCCACCTGCAGTAGGTGAAAACAGTAGTCAGGGAAGGTCTGTAAACATATACGCTAACACATTGCTTCGACCTTCAAAGTAGCTTTAGAATCTAGCTCCTTCTCAACACTCTGTCTAGGGTTTCCACATTTGCCTCTTCTCCCAGGTCCTGTCTTCTTTCATTCCTGCAAACTACTCTCACATGGTTCCAGCTGGAACCTCTTAAAGACTAAGTTAGGTCCTGTCCCCCCTCTGCTCAAACCGTCTCAACCCTTGAAGTTTGCGTACAATGAGTCTTTCACCTCCCTGGTCTCCTGTCTCACCTCCCTTACATTGCTCCAGAATCACTGGCCACCTTATTGTGTCTCAATCATGCCCCAGGGTCCTGGCACCAGCTATTCCCTTTGCCCAGATCACCTCCTTCAAGTCTTTGCTCGAGTATAACTTTCTCAGTAAGACCCATCCAGTGCCCCACCCACCCACCCACCTACGAACATTGCCCTTAATGTGCTCTCTTGTTTGTTTTTCTCTGGAACTTTCTGCCTTCCAACCTACTATGCAGGGAACCTGGAAGGTGCAAACAGTTCACAGGCTCTGCTGCTCATCTAAAGACTGGAGGTTGAGTTGCTCAGAGGTGACTCAGAAGAAAGGCCTGGCAATATACTCCTGTAAAATCAACCCTTGACATTTTGGTTTCCACTGAAAAATTGAACTTAATCTAATTGTTTTCCATTTGTAGGTGACTCTTTGTTTTTCTCATGTGGCTTTTAGTATTCTATCCTTTCATTTTGAGAATTTAACTATGATATGTCTTGATGTTTTTCTTTTGGGGTCTAGTCAATTTGGGGTTCACTGTGCTTCTTGAGTGTGGATTTCCCCAGTCTTCAAAATTCCTGTGAAGTTTTCTTCTAGTCCTTCTTCCACAGTTTTCTCAGTGACTTCCCTGTCACTCCCATGTTCTGAATTCTAATCATATGTATGTAATTCCTTTGATGTCATCCCATATGATTCCAATGTTTCCTTCATTTTCTTTACATCTCGTCTCTGATTTGTTTTTCTTCTTCTAGTATGTTTTCAGTGAGACTCTGGTCTTCCAGCTCACTGCCTCTCTGTTCCACCTCTTTAGTTCCACTTTTCTGTCAATGCCTTGACATTCTGAAGGCATGCAGTTCTGCTCTGACACAGGAAGCTGCAGTGAATTGGAGCTAATGGCAAGTGTTTTGTTAGAGTTTTAAAATAATTCTCTCTGATGTCTCAGTGGTTAAGGAATTATGCTAACAGTGAAAAGGTACATAGTTCAAATCCACTGGTTGCTCTGTAGGAGAAAGATGGGCAATCACCTCTTGTGATTTGCTGCCTTTGAAATACCCACCAGAGCTGTGGGTTGGTTTTGACTTGACAGTAAACAACAACAATCTAACTTATTTAATGTTTTTCTTGTTTACCTCCCTCACCAAATGTCAGCTCCATGGGATGACACGTATTTGTCTGTTTTGCTCCCAGCTTTCTCTCAAGGAGTGACTGGTGGACTCAAACCTCTGACCTCACAGTTAGCAGCCTGACACATTAGGGCCCTCAATAAACATTTGTTGAATGAGTGAAAAAATTAAGAGTGACATCTTTGGGCAAAGAGATGAATCCTGGAGAGTTTTTATTATCTTCTTTGGATTTTTTGACACGTTTCCATAATTGACTTGTCTGGCTTGGGTGATAAATGTTTTTTAAAAGCATTTTCCCCCCCAAAGCTTACAACCTCATTTTCAAAGACTTGCCTCTTACGGGTGCATTTGCTATTTCGGAAGGCGGCTCTGGGAGCCCTCGCGCGGGGGCTGCTCTGCAGAGCTGCCTTCTTTCAAGGCACGCAGCCTCCACCTCTATCTTTAGCAGGAGATCGGGGTCGAGCCCCTGGCAGAGACGGCTCTCACTGGGGAAATAAGATGTCTCCGTCTGGATGTGCAAATTGACCTGGATCATTTTCCGTTTTTGCATTCACGTTTGCACTTTGTAAATATTTGCCTGGCACCCCGCTGCTCACACCTGCTTGCTGTCCCCTCAAGTTTATGGAAGGCGGCAGGCACCGTTCCTTCCTCCCCACCTGGCACTGCCGCGTGAGGCGTGAGATGAGCGTTTGCCCGCCAAAGCCACAGGTGGCTCTGACAGGGCCTAAAACTAATGGCCTGTGGCTGGCCGCTGTGACTAATTCTCTGATTATTGACTTTATGATTTTACGCTTAAAACTTCTTTATAATAACACACAGAAATGTTTAATGGGCTCTATCCAGAGCCATAAAAATTACTTATTGAACAAGCATTTTAAAACTATTAATCTATTGTTTTCCATTAATAATGGCTCTCCAAAGAGCAGGCGACAGCTTAATGTAACCACGGAATTTCTTCTTAAAAAGTGGCCTTTTAAGACCCAAATGCTGTTGCTGAGGCATCAGAGGCTAGCCAGCCATCAGGCCACTGACCTTCCCAGGCCAGAACTAGGCCTCTGGCTCTCATGACGTCCTTCAAGAATGCTGAGCGTGAACAGGGCTCCTGGGAATTTTCCCTAGATTATGAGATGTCAGAGAGCCCCTCTCCTCAATTCCTCTTCTGTGGAAACATGGAAACGAATTCTGAGGGCCTATTCTGCAGTCCCAGCAAAGAAGGATGTGAAGAGAAGTGGGTAATTTGGAAACTCTCTTTTCTTGTTCTTTCTAGAAGAGTCCAGATAATCATCTCTTAGTGCCCTCTTCCCGATTTTTGTATTGCCAAGTTCATGACTGAAAAGTTTCTATGGCACACCCTCCTTTTGTCGTTATTTTAAGTATACTACTCCCACCCCCAAAAAGCTCTAGTGGCCTAGTGGTAAGAAGCTGTGCTGCAATCCCAAAGGCACACAGTTTGTGGCGATCAGCTGCTCTTGGAAGAAGGATGAGCAATTTCACTGTGCAATTAACTGCCTCTGAAAACCCGCTGGAGGCTCAGCTATGGGTCGGTTCACACAACTCACAGGCATACAACAACAACAACAATCCCTTCCCCTATGCAGCTGAAACTTGAACAATGAGTAAGGACAGCATGGACTGCCAAAAGAACGTCTCTCTTGGAGGAAGTGCAACCAGGGTCCTGCTCTTTAGAGGCGAGGAAGATGAAACTTCGTTTCACATACTTTGGGCATGATGTCAGCAAGGGCCATTCTTTGGAAAGAGACAATCATGCTAGGAAGGATGGAGGGTCAGAAAGAGAGACAGACTTCCAGCAAGCTGACTGACACACTATCACAATGGGACCCAGTATATCAGAGTCAGTGAGGATGGCGGGGAGTGGGGGGGATCGGTGAGGAGGGAGAGGGCAAGGTTCAGATCTATTGTTCATAGGATCACTGTGAGTTGTAGTCAATTTAATGACACATAACAATAACAACATCCCCAGCCCATCCTGGCCCAGAATCCCTGGGTGGTAAAAATGGTTAACATACTTGGCTGCTAAGCTAAAGGTTAGAGGTTCAAGTCCACACAGAGACACTTCAGAAGAAAGGTCTGGTGAAAAGTCAGGCCTACTCTAATGCGCGTGGAGTTGTCTTGAGTTGTAATAAACTCAAGAGAAACTGGATTTTACTGGTTATTTCCCCACCAAGCAGGGGGTGTGGCTTCCATTCCAAGTATGTGAGAATTGCCCTTTGTTCTCCTGTCCTTGTTCTTTCTCAGGGATTCAGATCTTCAAGCACAGTGGCAACACATGAGTGCTTCTACCAAGATTCCAGGCTGTTCTTTGCTTCAACAAATATTTGTTGAGTGTCTACTAAGTATTCGGCAATGTTCTCCACTCTGGAAATAGAGTAATAAAGAAGAAATGTGTGGGCCTCGACCTCCCAGAGCTGCCTTTTCCTCCTGAGGCGGGGCGGGGGGCATGGGGGGGTGTAGCCTACAGTATATGAGGACACAATCTTCCATCATTTGAAGTAGGTATCAGTGCTGAAAACAGGACAAGATTGTGGCTCAGAGCTAGGATCCTTGAGACAGAAAATGAGGAGAGGTGACACTGGAGCACAGCTTTGAGTGACAGGAAGGAACGAGCCTTGAGCAGTGGGGAAGAGTAGTCCAGGCAGAGGAAAGACAATACTGAGGGGGTGAAGTTTGCACAGGGGGGAGGGTCTCTCCTAGGCAAAGGCCCTGCCCAGCCTGCCTGACTTACCCCACTAGCCCTTACCTGGCAAGTGCAGGGCTCTGTCCAGCCACTGCCTCAAACCTTGCACATGGCTCCTCGGGATCCTTAGGGCCATATAGTCTGAGAAGCACTCGACATTGTCTGCAGACAAGAAGACACTCCTGAGATGGGAGGAAGGACTTAGGAATGGTTAGGAAAGGGCTGGCAGGATTTTCATGGTCATAACTTAGAGTTACACTTTAGTCCATACCGAAGTCACAGTTCATGTAATATCAAAGGAGAAAGAAACTGAGTGGGGCGTTTCAGACGTGTGTACAAGTCATCTGAAGTTCTTGTCAAAATATAGATTCTGATTCAGTAAGTTAGGGGTTGGGCCTGAGATTTCGCTTTCCTCAAAAGTTGTCAAGGAGCTCTGGTGGCCTATTGCTAAGAAGCTGTGTTGCAATCCCAAAGGCATGCAGTTCAAACCCACCAGCAGCTCCATGGGGGAAATATGGGCAGTCTTCTCCCACAAGATTTACTGTCTCTGAAAACCAGCTTGAGAGTTAGCTATGAGTTAGTTCTGACTTAACAAAAAGCCCCCAAGTGATTAGAGTGCTGTGGGGTTAAGGACCACCCTTTGACTAGTGCACTTCCAAAGATGACTAAGGGCTTCACAAAGGAAGACAGAGTCATGCGACTTTAGTAGAGAATCTCACTCCTATTCCATGTTCCCGGGATTGAATGGTGATGGTGGTGATGGTGGTGAGAGCAAAAGTGATGCTGATGCTGATGCTGGTGCTGATGTTGAAGACAGTGGTGGTGATGAGAGTGATAGTGAAGGTAGTGATAGTGATAATGGTGGTGATGATGGTGAAGATATCGATGAAAATTATAGTGAAGGTTGTGATGGTGGTAATGATGGTGACGATGGTGGTGATGGCGGTAAGAGCTAACGAAGGAGTGATATGGTGACAACAGTGATGGTAATAAGAGTGATATTGAAAGTTGTGATGTGGTAATGATAATGACAATGATTGGGATGATAGTAAAAGGGGTGATGGGGTTATGTATTGATGAGATAGTGGTAATGAGAGTGGTGTTGAAGATAGTGATGGTGGTAATCATGATGGTGATGGTCATGGTGATAGTGATGGTGGTGATGGTGATAGTGATGATGATAATGATGGTGATGGTAATAGTGTGATGATGGTGGTGGTGATGAGGATGGTAGTGATGGTGGTGGTGGTAGTGACGATGGTGGTGGTGATGGTGATGGGGTTGATGATGACAATGGTGGTGGTGATAATAGTGAAAGTGGTGATGATAGTGGAGGTGGTTATGATGGTGGTGGTGGTGTGGTGATGGTGGTGATGGTGATGATGTTGGTGGTGGAGGTAGTGATGAGAATGGTGGTGGTGATGATGATGGTGATGGTAATGATGGTGATGGTGATGATGTTGGTGGAGGTGGTGATGAGGATGGTGGTGATGGTGATGGTGGTGGTGATGGTGGTGATGATGATGGTGGCAGAGGTGGTGATGATGATGGTGGCAGAGGTGGTGATGATGGTGGCAGAGGTGGTGATGGTGATGGTGATGATAGTGGTGGTGGTGGTGAGGAGGAGGAGGAGGAGGATGGTGGTGGTGGTGGTATGAGGATGGTGGTGATGGTGGTGGTGGTGGTGGTGGTGGTGATAATGGTAGTGGTGATGAGGATGGTGGTGGTGGTGGTGGTGATGGTGATGATGGTGGTGGTGATAATGGTAGTGGTGATGAGTATGGTGGTGGTGGTGGTATGAGGATGGTGGTGATGATGGTGGTGGTGGTGATGGTCTTGATGGTAGTAGTGATGATGGTGATGAGGATGATGACGATGATGGCGATTGTGACAATGACCTCCTAATATATCTGTCTTCCTCAACATAGATTATAAACCGCATGAAACGGTGTAAATTACAACTAACTTGTTCAGCATAACACCTCAAAGCTTCACCCAGTGCCTGACATCTACAAACACCTAATAAATATAGTTATGTTCAATAAAAAGATGAATATATGATAAATATGACATTTTATGTTTCCATCCCAGGTGTACTGGAGTTTTCTATAATCCCATGAAACAATAATATCAAGTGAGATATTTCAACTATGTTAAGTAGAATCTTGTTGGATGTGACATATTTCCCCAAAGAGAGCCCTATCTGTACCTTCTTACCAGGGCAGAGTCAATATGCAACTTAAATCGAACATACTCTAGATATGATTTATCTGACAACTGCAGAAATGGGAAAATGAAAATATCTTATCTCCTGGGCTAGTTCTTTTTACAAGGGAGATACTTAAGCTGCCCAAAGGAATACCAAGAAAATAGAGCCCTGGAGTTGGACTAATAGGACTTAGAGCCTGAGTGTGATCTGAGGTGAGTCATATAACCTCTCTAGACTCTATTTCCTCTTCTGCAAAATGAGCACAATAATAGCATCTTTGTAGTGTCAAAGGGTTATTGTTCAAAATGCCCTTCCTGGCCATTGATTAACTGTATATTTTGTAACGAAGTATTTATTGAATTAAGGAGCTAGGATAAAGATGGGATACAGCCCCACCCTACTCATGGGGGTTCAATGCTAGCTCTTTGGGGGATGTCTGTTTTCCTGGGACACAGTATCCAGCTGCACCGCTCACCAGACTCTGCAACAAGGACCTGCATCACCCACAATCACGTGAGTCATTCCCCTGACAGGTAGGAGTCTCTGTAAGACCTTCCAATGAAGCCCTGAACCCAAGGAATGTAGAGAAGTGGTAGAACTTAATGAAGGATGGTCGGTTAATGTCAAAAATTCCAGTGATATAGCAGATCAAACATTTGGGACACTACTGACTTACTCCTTCTTATTATGAATGCAACCTCCCTTGTTGGACATAAGAGGTTCCGTTTCTGGCCAATTCACTTCATACACAGTCATCATCTGTTTGTCAGTGGATTTTTGTGTGTTGCTATGATTCTGAACAAGCTTCAACAGAACTTTCAGACTAAGATGGACTAGGAAGAAAGGTCTGGCAATACTCTTCTGAAAATGAGCCAGCAAAATCCTTACGGATCAAAATGTTCCACAATAAATCATGGGCATGGTGTTGGACTAAGCAGGGTCACCATGAATCAAAAGTCAACTGGATAGCACTTTACAATAAATGCAAGAATAGTTGGGATCAAGAAGAAGAAATGAAGTGATGCATGTTGGAAACAACCCAAGTGCCCATCAACAAATGAATGGATAGAGAACTTGTGGTATATTCACATAATGGAATACTACTCTGCTTTGAAAAACAAGGAACTCATGAAATATTATGCAAAACGGGTGACCCTGAAGGACATTATGCTGAGTGAAATATCTCAGTCATAAAAGGACAAAATACTGCATGGTGCTACTGTTGTAAAATGGGACTAGCATCGGGTTTGGGGAGAGACTGAGAAAGATGGGTTCAATAATGTACACTGCATTGAAACAGATGAGGGAGAGAACTATTTAAAAGGGATATGTGATTAGGTATTATTGTCATGACAGGAGTCCAGAACAAAGGCTGCATAGTGAAGTGGACTTTGGGGGCAGGATTGTATAACAAGGAAATAATTTTTCTTATACTTTTCAAAACGAAGGCTGCATAGTGGAGCAGACTTAGGGGAAGAGATTGTATAACAATGAGAGACTTTTTCTTCTACTTTTCAAAGAGAAGAGCGAACTGGGTGGGGGGAAGGTTGGGCAGGGAGAAAAGTGCAACAATGAATGAATGGAAATCCAAAGTCTATGTAAACTTTGAATAAAATTAATAAAAGTTTTAAAAGGGGAAAATACCATACACACCAAAAAACCCCCTTACTTAGCACAGGGTCACACCTACACTAAACCTTCAGTAAATATGTGCTAGGGACTAGAGAAGGGTCTAGTTCACAGGGGGTTACACTGTCAACCCTTTTAAGCTTCACAGGAAAAAGATGGACAATCTCTTCTGGTGCCACTTACAGCCTCTGAAAACGCAGTGGAAGGTCAGGCAGGAGTCAGTTCTGACTCAATGGCAATGAGCTGCTGTTGTTGTTGAGTTGGCTCCTGAAGTAGGGGCCCCTGGTGGCACAGTGTGTTGTGTGTTGAACTGTAAACTGAAAATCCAGCAATTCAAACCCACCAGTTTGGTCTGTAGAGGAAAGATAGACCGTCTCCTCCTGTTCAGACTTAGAGTCTTGGAAGAGGGTCATCATGAGTCTGCCTCAGCTTGACAGGTGTGAGGGTTTTTTTGTAATTCCTGTAGTATAGGAGCTCTGGTGGTGCAGCCATTAAAGCACTCAACTGCCAACCAGAAGTTCCATGTATCCGACCCACTAGCTGGTCCACAGAAGAAAACTGTGGCAGTTTGCTTACATAAAGATTTACAACCCTGTGCTCACTTCAGCAGCACATATACTAAAATTAGAACGATACAGAGACGATTAGCATGGCTCCTGCACAAAAATCACACGCAAATTCATGAAGTGTCCCATGTTTCTGAATGATTGTATGAAACACATTGTGAATGAAGAATATTTGAACTTTGTAAGCAAACCAATATACAATAAAAATGTATTTGAAAAATATATTTACAGCCTTGGAAACCCTATGAGGCATTTTACTTTACCTTACATGGGCATTATGTCATTGCTGCATGTGATCGAGTTGGAATCAACCCATAGCTGACCCTTCAGTGGCTTTTCAGAGGCAGTAAATTGCACAAGAGGAGATTGCCATTCTTTTTCCAGTGGAGCAGCTGGTAGATTCAAACCAAGTGCCTTTGGGTTGCCAGAGCAACTTCTTAAAACTAAACCGTGAACGTTTGGTCACAATGAGTAGAGAAAAATCAGTGGTTGTGGTTGTGGTTTCTCGCCATGCTGCGTCTTCTGTTTGATATAAGACTTACGCATGAAGATTCGAGGGCTCGGCTGCTGGGGTGAAATCCTGGCTCTGCTGCTCATTGCTGTGGGATCTTAGAAAAGCCATCCCCTTCCCTGGGCCTCGGTTTCTTGGTCTGAAAGTGTTGTTAGGATGAGCTAATGACACAATGCCCTGTAGGCAGGCCTGGCACAAAAACAACTCTAGTGCACTGGGTTTTATTACTTCCATAAGTTCTCACCTCTGACTCAGAAACACCCTAATTCTTCTCCCAGTCAGCATGTGACCCCAACACTTGGCAAACTGGGAAACCATTGCCTTGGTGAAAAGCACACCGCCACTTCTCCCATTCACACTTCTACAAAGGCTGTCTCACTTCCAAAGTCACCCAAACATCACACACCAGGATGATGATCTCTCTCCTCGGTGAGAAAATGTCCAGAGCGTAAGGTAAGCTATAAAAATATGATCTATTTACCTGTTGAAACTTCAGGTGCTGGGCTGGGCCTGTCCCTTTTTGACTTGTAGGGCAGGGTCCACGTGAACACTGGAGGTAGACTACAGGCTAGAAAGACGGCCCTGAAGGAGAGGAGAGAGGTGTGGAGGGATATGCTGAGTGCTCTGTCTTCACTCATTCTGTCAATTATACAGCAAAACCTGTGAGAGCTGGAACTTGACAGGACTATCTTGTTTTCCGGGTCTCACTGCATTTTTGCCAAGATTCAATCTTACCCTTTTTCTTCTTCTTTTTCTTTTTCGGTGTGTGTCATGTGAGTGAAGATTTTTTTCCTTCAACCATTCATATACATTTTGTTCTATGACACTAATTAAAATACCCACAATGTAACTTTACTCTACCCACTTCCTCCCTGTGATTCTCATGTCCACTAATCCTCTATGCTTTCCATCTGCACTTTATTCCTGGATAAGTGCCACTCTTTTGACCTTATATGGTTGCTTATTCTAAGGATTGAATGTCTCCTTAAAGGCAGTGCTCACCTCATATGCTTTTATTAGTCTGGTAAGTCTGACCTCTTCTGTTTTTTAGTTTTGCTCCCCATTTTCTTCTCATTCTATCCAGGATCCTCTCCTGTCTTACTTACTGCCTTTTTTTTTTTTTTTAAGTTAGCTTCTTTGCTATTTTATTGAAAGTTTATAAAGAATTTGGATTTCCATTTATTCATTGTTGCACATTTTCCTCCCTCTCATCCCTCTCTCCCAGTTCACATTTTTCTTTGGGAAAAAAGTTCTTTCATTGTTATACAGTACCCCCCCACACACACACCCTGGACCACTTTATTATGCATCTCTTATTCTGGACTCTTGTCATGCCAATAATACCTAATCATATGTACCTTTTTTAAAAAAATATTTTTATTTTACATTGGTTTGCATGCAAATTGAGTATACATTGTGTTTCATTTTTATACAGTGCATTTCATACATTTCCTCTATTCACATTGTGTTTCATACAATACAATCATTCTCATACGTTGTGTTTTATAAAATGAATCACCATTGATCCATGTCCACTACTACCCCACCTTTGCAGGTAGGTCATCACTGGATCTTTCCTTATGTATTTTTCTTGTGATTTGAGTGAAAGTTTACAAAGCATATTGTTCTTTTTTATTTAT